GGGGGCTCTTGGGGTGGCACGAGGTGGAGGGCACCGCCAGGACAGGGCAGGGGGTTGGCTGGGGGGCAGCAGCAGGTTGCAGAGGCCGGCGGTGAGGGGCACTGGGGGAGACACCGGGCAGGACTGGGGGAAGGAGATGGGGTGGGGGGAGCGCGGCGCATCCCTACCTCGGGCGGGGCCGGGGATCCTCCCGCAGGGGATGCTCGGAGGCCGGGGAAGGAAGGACCAGTTCCCGTGGCAACAGGAAGGGAGGGGCCTTCCCCATAGCAACGGGGGGGGGGCAGCTCCTATGGCAACGGGGACAATGCCAGGGCAGCCTTTAACCCCTCGAGGGCCGAGCCAGTCCCAGGGGGCTGGCAGGGCACGGAGAGCTCTGGCGTGACTCAGTTTCCCCACCCGCTGCAGTGTGTCATGTGGACACTGGGGGTAAGGGGCTAATTTCCACCCAGGTCGTTGCGGGGGGCGGGCCGGGTGGTATCAGATGCATGGGGCAGGGGATGCCGGAGACAGGGAGGGATCCCCGATGCACCCCCAGTGAGGGGGGGTCTGAGCACGGGGCCCAGCAGCCTGGAGCAGGGGGCTGGCTGCAGCGGCCCTCAGGAGCCCACGGCAAGAGACCAGGAGGAGGGATGCGGAGCCGCACCTGGGGCTGGCCAGAGCCCCCCGCCCTGCAGGGCAGCCTTCGGCATGGGGGGGCAGCCGGCAGCACCGGCCCGTGTGGTGGGGCAGCTGGGGGCCATTCGCCTGCCTGGCCCTGGCCCCTGGCGCTGCCCTTGCCCTGCGCGCTGCCCTGGTTGAGTCGGTCCTCACTGCAGCGCCAAGGCCTGGCCCGTCGTGTCGGGCCCCGAGCTGACCCCCATATCGGCTCCATGCTGTCCTGGCTCCCGGCCCCTCGCCCCAGGCCTGTGAGCAGGGGCACAGACGCCTCCTCGGCCCCCACAAGCCCCCTCTGGGGCCCATCGCCCAGCACGGCTCCATGGGCTCAGTCTTGGGAGCGCGAGGCCCAGCCCTGGGCCTGCAAACCCGACCCCGAGCTCCCAGGTAAACACCAACCTAAATCTCCAGCAGGTCCCTCGCGCCCCGTGGCACAACGGGCAGCACCGGGACGGGCACCAGCGCCCGTGCAACGCCAGGCCGCAGGCGGACAGGGCCCTGGCCAGGGCCCTGAGGCTCCTCCATGCTCAGAGCATCCTGCCCCACCGAGCCCCGGCCTGAGCTGTGACCCCCTCCCGGCGCTTCAGCAGAGGGTGCTGCCCCTGCCCCTGCCCCAGGCGCCAGCTGCGCTTGAGGGTGGAAGGAGGGTCCTGGTCCCCCTGCCCAGAAGCGGGGCCGGAGCTCTGTGCCGGGCGCGAGGCAGTGCACGGCGCTGCCGGTGGAGCACACCGTGCGCCCTGACTCGCCCGTCGGTGGT